CCAAAACAATAAGTGATATTTTGAATCTCGAATTCAGACTTCTTATTAATGGCTCTTTGTCACTATGGCTACCCTGCTAGCTCGGTACCATCTTTCAGCGGTTGTTGAGCTGGGCTGTTACCTGGTGGTAGCTACTCTTCACATCCTTTCAAGCAGGATGTGCTGGCTGTGGGGTCACCGTCATCTCCCAGGTCCCTGCCCATGAGGTCACTGCTCAAACCTCAAAAACCGAATCCTCGCTGAAAACGGGGGGGGGGATGAAATCTATCATGCAGGGTTGCTGGCAGGACTAGGCAAGCAGTGGGTGATGACTGCCAGCCCCATAGCACAAGGTCCATGCCTTCAGTGTCCTGTCAGGGAGTCTGTCCAGAAATTCTTGTGGAGGGTTTCAAAGAAGAAACACTTCCCCTGCCTTGAAAGGCTGTTGTACGAAGCACAGATGATGTTCTCTACTGGATGGATGGATGGATGGATGGATGGGTGGATGGATGGATGAATGGAAAGTTCAGAGATAACTTATGAGAAGTGCCTAGTGCAGTGCCTGGCTCATAGAAGGTGCTCCACAAATAATGTCGATGGGAAGACGCAGCAGGGTGGGTGGTGGGACTGAGAACTTTGAAGCCAAACACAGCCACCGAGGTCTCTGCTTTGTCACGTCCTGGATGTCTGGCCTTATGCAAGTCGCTGGTTTTCTTTTAAGCCTCAGTTTCCCCACCTGTAAATTCTACCCACAATGCAGATTTGTTGCAAAAACTAAAGGTAACATTAAAAATGACAATAAATGAAAAACTAAGTAGCTGGGGAATCCTGTGCACTCCCGGCTCAAGGCCAGAGGCTGTGAAACCCCATTTCTGCGGCTTTGTGGAAACAGAGTGCGGGAGGAGGGAAGATGATGACCATGAAGCAGAGCCTGGAGCAGGTGCTGTCTCCTGGGAGGCAGGAAGACGTGGCAGGTGGTGTAAAAGGGCCAGGGAAAAGGTGAGCAGTGGGAAAGCCAAGCTGAGGCTGTCCCCACGAAGGCCCTCTGCGCCCAGGAAGTGACTGGTGCTTGGGAATATGGTAGAGGATGGGTGGGCGTGGCATGCAGGATGTGGGCCGAGTGCTTTCTCCGCCTTTAGAAATAATATGACACTAATTCAACAGTCCTTGGTGGGCTCATCTCTACTAACTCCTGCCTTTTGGCTCGAGCTAAAGTGTACTGTCAACCTCGGGCCCCTGTGACAGCTTGTCCCCATGAAGATGGGGATGAGGGATTGGAGGGTTCGAGTCTGCCCAAGTCGCTTCCAATCAGAAGCTGCTCAGACAACATGGTGTCTCCTTAATACCCTGTAAGACAGAGACAACTCGTTCGGACGTCCTCAGATGGGACTCTACACTTGGCTCCAGACCTTTCTGACTCGCCTGTCTGAGTAGCAGGAAACCTCCTGACAAAATCTCCCCCGGGAGGGAAGGACTCGGGCACAGCTGGATTACCCGCAGGCCTGCACAGGCTGGGGTCATGCTTTTCCCACTGGAGACACTGACCCATATGAGGTCAGGTCCAGCAGGTCCCCAAGACTGTTCTCATGTCTCTGCTTATCACCAAGCACCTCCGACCCGCCCCAGCCCTCCCCTCTCGGCTCACTTTCCCACTGGCACTGCCGTTCATCCTTGCCAAGTTGGCTGCTTATGCCTGAATAGATCAATGGAAAATTTGAGACCGTTCTGGGAACCTGGACGGCGAAACTGACGTTCTTAGAATCCATGTACACGCGGCTGTGGCTGGTGGGGATGGTTTTGTTAGTAATAACCTCTGCTATTGTTCCTCTTTCAAACTGATTCCTTTGGGAAATTTTGAAAATATAGATCGGCAAAAAGCACCCCTCACCCCATCATCCACACGTTGGCCTGTGTATTCCTAGGCTTGCTTTCTATGCATATACATGTCTGTGGGGTTTTGTGTTGTTGTTTTTTAATAGGACTGCTCAGTACTGTTTTGTAACCTGATCTTTTCCCATAACCATCACAAATAGCTTTCCATGTCATTAAACAGGCTCCCACACCTTTGTTTTTAATGACTGCCCAGGGCGTGCCAGCAGACCTGTGCCCCAGTCAAGTTGTTGTGTTGTTTTTTTCTCATGCTTGTGTTCTGAGAAAAAAAACTTACATCATGACCTGCTCTAAGAAAGAGCCAAGGTTTAGCCAATTAGAAGCTCTTCATTAAAAATGGAAACAGTACCTCCAGCTCTCCAGCGGGTGGGCCAGTATCCTTCTTCTGAAAGGTATCCTGGTCGCAAATAGCAGCCTGGCCACCAGCCAGATAGGCTGTGGATGTGGAGATAGGAGGACCACTCGTATTTCCCTGTGGAAGTCTTTGGAGAGGCTGGGCTGCTTTAATTTAAAAAAAAAAGGTAGAAAACATGTTTTGTAATTGTTTGCAAGTGCACACAGGCTCAGTGGCAAAATGAGATGGAACCCTTGAATTCTAACCTCCTGCTCCACTGTTCAAAATGCCTCCCGGAGAGGCATGGAGGAAGCAGACCTGAAGCACTCTGCTTGTAAAATGCGCACCCTCTCTGAGCTGGTTATTGTCCTAAAGGACATTTCACATCAAATTGTACTGGTTTATAAATATCTTTCACCCAAGACAGACCACTTCTCAAGATACTGCTGATATGGGGACTAGAGCAATACAGAGAGAAAATGAAAACCTACTGGGGGTCCCTGGGTGGAAATATAAACAGATTTACCAGCAGCCATTTCAGCCTGGAAACCCTCAATGGGTGATGTCGCTCAGAGCCCCAGTGCAGTAAATAATAGGACAGACAGGAATATCACGAGGGAAAGCTGAATGATGCTCATTAAGGACATGCCTTTGTTCAGCGTGCTCTTAGGGAACCCCAGTAGTGGGCTGCTCTGCACGAGGCACCGAGAAGCTGGTAAATAAACCCCCATTTCTACACTCAAGGAGCCAACAGTCTAGGAGCAGAGTGGCACAGGCTAACGAACATTTGAAGCATGGTGTGATCAACGCTGTGCCCAAGCACTGATGTCTGAAGCATAAGACAACACAGGGGCGTGACCCTAGGCTGGTGGCACTGGGGAGGCCGGCGCCCCGAGAGGCAGAGGAAGGAAACAGGGACTGCATCCGCATCACGGGACGCAGGGCGTCCTTGGGAGGAGAAGCACCACAAAGGCACAGGGGCAGGAACCGCCAGGGTGTGTTCTCAGAACCACACCTGGCCAGGTAGGACTGAGGACAGGATGGAAAGGAGGCTGGCGAGGTCCATGGGAGCTGGATCACTGCGTCCTGGGGGACGGGCGGGGCTTTCTCCAGCAGGCAGCAGGCGCAGCTGGGTTTGCAGCAGGCACGCGTCCGATTCACACAGAAAGGTTCTTTCCGGGTAGTGTGGAGCTTGTGAGACTGGAGACGGAGACAAATTAGGAGACTCGTTCATGTTCAGGCAAGAAAGGATTTGGGCCTCAACGAAGGCCAGCGGCGGCGGGAATGGAGGGCGGAAGCAGTTTAAGTGATTATTAAAGAGATGGAGTTAACAAGGCTGGTGACCAACGGAAACGGGGGTGGGGGACGTAGAAGGGCAGGAGAAAGGCAAAGAGCAAGTAATTGACAGAGCAGGACCCCCCGGAAGCAGGAACGGACTCCATCTGGGTCAAGCTGATCCAGAGAGACTCCCTCCCTTAGACCATGGAGGACGGAGGGAACAGTAGTGGGAGGAGCAGATTCTAATGGGTGTGGGAGCAGACTTGCTGGCAGAGGCAGGAAGGATGGCGGATCCCGGGAGAGCCCGCACTCTGTGAATGACGTAGGAGTAGATTCCAGAGAGAGGAGAGTAGAATTACGGTCACTTGAGTCTAGCGATGACATTTGGAGTCTCCCTATAGGGCAAGGCATGAGGAGCTGGCCTTCACCCCTGGGAAGCGTGAACCGAAGGTCCCTGAGGCCCAGCCGAGACCAGAGGCCAACCCACCAGCGGTGTTTCCCCAGGGGCACTCAGCAGCTAAGGGAGAGCGGGGACGATGAAGAGGTTCCGAGTGGGTGACTTGGCCATCTCGCTTAGGGGATGGCCACGTCCCCTCAATTCAAGGGAATTGAGAATGCTGAGAGGTACTGGAGTGCCGCCCAGAGAACGAAGCAAGGGTGGAAGGGCTGGGAGAATGAGGGGTCAAGGACTCAAGTCTCAGTAGCGCAGACACGTCCGTGCATGAGCTACAGGGACCAGAGGGTGTGGCCTGAAATCCCCACGAGGGAGAGTCAGATTCCAAAGGTAGAGCAACCACATGGAGGGACGGTGATGTCCAGGAGGTGGCCTGGGAGTGGGTGACTAATGTGGGGCTGGTGTTTTGAGTGCCCCCAAAGGACAAGGGCCAGCAGAATGGAGGCATTCCAGTCCTGAGGGACACCCCAGTGCCATCTGTGTCAGTGCTGTGAGGGCTGGCTACATTCCCTCCGTGGGGCCAACGCAAGCCTTGTCACACTGTCACCAAAGCTAAGCAGTTTACAGAAGCGGTACATGCGGGCCTGTCTAAGGGACCCTCCTTAGAACCGTGACTCCCAGGCCCTCCCTTAACTGCCACCTGTGACAAAGAACCCAAGTAATTAGTGCTTCAAGCACTGTCATGTGAACCACATTACCTGCAAAAGTAGCACCAGGCAGTTACGAATTACTCATAAGTTTTATCATTGTGCACGTGGGTTCTTAAGAAACGTCCCCAGCTATGTCCACCATTTAGTAACCGGTGGGCCTCAGACCCACCGTGTTCACCATAATCTCATTTTCTCTTTTTCTGTTCAGTTTGAACTCCCGTAGCAGGGCAAGACAGATTTGAGCTTAAGTCATTCCTATCCGGCCACCCTTGCTCTTTCAGGGAGCCGACTCGCCCTGTGGGGTGTCTGAAGGCCCATAAACGGCAGCCAGGGCGTGGTGGGTTGGGGTGTGAGGGTGTGGGAATCGAGTGTCGCCCCCGCCTGAGTGGGTGGCCAGCTTTAGCCTCCCCTGCAGGTGCGCTCGGGCACTGCTGGAGCACGGCGCGTCGGTGCACCGCCAGGGCGGCGCGGGCCGGGACACGCCGCTGCACGTGGCGGCACAGCGCGGCCTGGACGAGCACGCAAGCCTCTACCTGGGCCGCGGGGCACGCGTGGACGCCAGGAACTGCCGTGGCGAGACCGCCCTGAGCACCGCGTGCGGCGCGGCGAGGCGGCCCGACGAGCACGCGCGCTGCCTGCGCCTGTGCGCGCTGCTGCTGCAGCACGGGGCGGCGGCGGATGCTCGCGACGAGGACCAGCGCAGCCCGCTGCACAAGGCCTGCGGCCACGCGCCCCCCGGCCTGGCGCGCCTCCTGCTGCAGCACGGCGCCGACCCGGCGGCGCTCGACTACGGCGGCGCCTCGCCGCTGGCCCGCGTGCTGCAGACAGCCGCCTGCTCGCCCCAGGCCACGCCGCAGCACACCGTGCAGGAGCTGCTCAACCACGGCTCCCCCACCGTGTGGCCGGACGCCTTCCTCAAGGTAAGAAGAGGCGGGCAAGGGACCTCCCACACCGAGCTTTGCAGTGCAGGGACCTGGCCTGCCACTTGGTGGCGTGCAGCGCTTCTCAAACTTCCAGGGTCCCAGGAACCCCTTGGGGATTCGTGAAACTGCACAGTCCGATTCCGCGGGTCCAAGTGGGAGTGGCTGTACTTCTAACCGCTCCAAGGCGAGGACGAGCCTGCTGGTCACGTGACCACACTCTGAAACGCCAGGGCCTGGAAGCCTCCAGGTTGGGGTGTCCACAAGCATGCCTGAGTGTGTGCTCGCTCTCAAAGTAGTCACCTGGGGATGCCAGGCAGTTATTTCGATGACGCTGTCATGGCTAAAATTATTTTGGCAGCTCATCTTTGGGTGTAATTTTCAGCACAATGAAAATCAGTTTCTGGTTACCCAATCCCAATCCCCAATCTTAATGAGGCTAATGACAGCACTTTACACATCTGCACATTTCCCTCATTCGGTCCCCACTGCACTCCTGTGAAACACCAGGCAGGTAAGGTTCTCGTTCTACCTGGGTTTCACCCAGGTGGGGCTCTTTGTCCAGGGTCAGGGCTATGTCAGGACCCCAACCTCACTTTGCAGACTTGACTCTGAGCAACTTGTCACTTTTTCCACGTGTCAGATCTAGCCTGAAATAATAAAGAGGACGAATAATAATTTCTCATCAGAGAAAATACTCAAAAGATGGAATATATTTCTGAAAGAAAAGTTCCCAAAATAATGGTTGGAGTGAGAGATTGTCCTCACCAAAAGAATTCACTGAAAGGGAGTCATCCTGTTAGATATAAAATTGGGTGTGCTTAATTTTAAAATGACCCCCCTCACCAATCACAGGCAAGAGACATACTTTGACCTGATAAGCTTTGAACAAATAGTTGAAAGGCTGTTATCCAAAAAGGACAGTGTTCTAGATGGTCTGAAATAGTGAGATTCACACATTTCTCTCAGATGCTAACTTTGTGTTATAGATGCATGCAGAGTAAAATGTGTGTCTGTAAAAACAGAGCTGAAAAGTGGGAAATCCACCCAGACAACTCCCTGAGTGTTTCTTTACTTGACAAACATTTTAACAAGTGTCTTGAGAAAGCTCTTACACTGTCTTTTAGCAATTCTCTCATGGCACCCTTCCAATGCAGTGATTTCAATATGGTGGGCTCTCAAAAGGGAAGAGATGCCAGCATTTTTATATTCTATAACACTCACCTTTTATAGCCCTAATTTACATTTTAACATTTCCCTATATCAGCAGGCTTGGTTTATCAACCCATAACATAGAAACAAGACACCCCCCCCAAGGCCCCTCCAGTTCCCATGGTTTGTTTTAAACTAAGATGCATGCATCAGCGTTCATCATGTGAAAGTGCATAAAGAATGAAAACATGAACAAGGCTTTACAAGATGGGCCACAAGTGAAAAATGCATGGGGGATATTCCTTTGAAGAAAAAAGAGTCAATATATTTCAGTACTGACTAGAAATAACCCTTAGTTATCCTCGAAGTCAATCAGTTTGAGTGATCTTTGCCCAAGTTTCCAAGGTGCATCCCCATGGGCTCCCTCCCTGGGGACAGGACCGCTGGCGCCTGAGCTCTGGCTCCAGGGCTGTAGGAATTCGCCTACCTTGACCTCGACAGGCAGGACAAGGCACAGTGCCTCCCCTTCAGGGGCCCTATCTTGTGTCAGCCACACAGGAAGGAGCATGGTCCGCGGGGATGCAAGTTGGGTTTAGGTTTAGGGGGCAGTTTGTTATTGGGGCGGGGTTGGGGGGGTGGAGAAGACGCCATGAGAAGTGCTGGGCTCTTGGAAGTGGTAATGCATCTCCCAGCAGTTGTGGAAGGAGTTGGGGTTTCCCTGAGAAATCATAATACTTTGAGGCTGTCACCGAAAAGCACTGCCCGTCGTCGCCTTCCCTGTACACAGCACACAGAGTCGCACCTCAGTCAGTGGGGAAAGTTTGAAGGGGATTTCAGCAAATCCAGGACGCGGCCTGTCGTTAAATCCTTAGATATGGAGATCCGGGCTCTTCGTGCTGAGGACAACCACACCTCTAGGGGGCGCCCCACAAACGCGTGTTGCAGTCCGCGGCCACCAGCCCACCACACTCCTGGCCGGGAGCAGGTTGCGGTGGGGAACGCATGAACCACACTGAGTCCACTGAGCAAAGGTACCAGTACCTGTGATGTTCTCGCCTGGCCCCAGGACAACCAGGACGAACACTCTGGAAATCCAGCAGAAGCATCTTCCCCCACCCAGGCCCCCCTGCGAGTGTTCCACCAGGGAAGAGGTCTAATCACCTCACACGACATCAAAGGGACAGACTGACTCTGCTCAGCAGCCCCGTGGAGCACGCAGCAAACACTCTGAAACGGGCCACAAAGATGCACCGCAGGCAAGACTCTGCGCCGTGGCGAGGCGTTCACAGAGGCGCCGGGGAATGTCACAGAGCACGCCGTCCGTGGGCAGCAGCCGTGCTTTAAGCAGATGTAAAGAGACACCCACGGAGCTCAGAATTACTGAGGCAAAAGGTTTCACAGCGAGTGCATGACATAAATCACAGTTCCCCCATGCCCAGACAAAGGCACCGTCCCCGCGGCAGCCGAACGCCAAGCGCCGTGCACAGTGCTCTGCGGCGAGCATCAAAGCAGGGACACTGCTTGGGAAGCAAGCATGTTGACAATGCCAGACCTTTCTGCCCGGCTGACCTCTAGTTAACACCGGAGTCAGATATGGGGGCGCCAGGGCACCGGCAAGCAGCGGTGGCAAGCTGCGGCCAGGTTTGAATTCTGGAAGTTGTGAGGTCAGGCGGAGGAGAGCCGCCTGGAGCGGAGCAGGCCGCAGGGCCGAGGGACACACCCAGGAATGTGGGTCCCCACGTGTTGTGCCGCTGCCACGAGCTCACCTTGTGGGTCGCATGCTTGGTCTGGAAGAAAGGGCTTTGCTCATGGGCCTCTCTCCTCCCGCCCCTCACCGGGAAGATGGATTCATTGAAACAGGATTGAAGCCCCATGTTCTCTTTTCACAACTTTTCTCAGCCCAAGGCTTTGCAGAGCACATTTCTGGCTAGACCCCACGACCCAAGGCTGACGCTGCAAAGGGTTAAGCCCCGCCCCACTCTGAGATGGGAGGTGACCTACCCAAAGTTACAGAGCTGGCAAGTCGCAGTCCCAAACCAGCTCCCTGTGTCCTGGGACTCACCCCCTGCTCTCCCGCCTCCATGCCTGTTCATTTGGGGGCCGCTCAGAGTAAGGCACCAGCTTTTTTGTCCCTTGGTATATAAAGGGACCCCCTGCCATGAGCACTTCTCATTTGCAGTCAGCTCGTGTGGTTAACGCATTCTGGCTTCTCCAACCCTGTCCCTTATTTTGTGCCGTTCCTGAGAGACGTTTCTGTTACATGCAGGGCAGAGGCCAGTGGAGATGCACCTGCTGGCAGCCGTAACTATCCCAACTCACTGCCCACGAGTGGGGAGGCGCAGGGACACCACCAGCGATGGACTGCTTTCCCCAAACACATAGGCTGTGCTTCCCACGAGCATCCCTTAAGCACTTACTTATTCATGCAACAAACATCTCTGCTGTGCTCAGTGCTGGAGTCGGTGTTGAAAGGGGAGCATGCGCACTTCCTGCCCTCAGGGAGCTGCCCGTCAGGAGGGTAAGACAACCAAACCCACCAAGGTGAGGTTGCTGTGGTGAGAAGAGCTGCAGAGCCAAGACTCTCCCCCTCCTGAAAGTGGGACATGGGCTCTACCTGGCTTGGGGGGATGGTCACAGGCTCCCCCAAGCACGGGCTTCATGAAGGCTGAAGCCTTAGCTGTGTGAAAAGGGGAAGAGAGACCATTCCAGGCAGAAGGAACAGATCGGACAAATGTCCTGGGGCAGAAGCAGCACTGTGTGTGACCGTGCAGTCGGAAAGGTGACCCAGTAGCTGGAGAGGACACAGCAGGAGGAGGCCAGCTGAGCGGGACCCGGAGGCAGGGCCTTTGTGAAGAGTCTGAGCCTTTGTCTTGAGAACAATAGGAATCTATTACGTCATTTTAAGCAGGAGAGGTGATGTAATCAAATGAGCGTTTTGGAATGATTTCTCTGCTCAAGTGCAGAGAACATGTTGGGGTAGGCGCCGGGGAAAACCACAGACGGCTGCCAGTCCAGGCGAGGAATGCAGATAGAGGGGCAGTGGAGGTGGATGGCAAGCATGGCAGGTCACTCTAGAAGCATCTGCAAAGCTCTGGTCTCGCCTCACCTTCTGGGCATTGACCATGCTGAAAATACGGACGTACATCAAGTTTTTGTGTTTTCTTTTCACCTATTATAGAAATAGGTAAAGTGACTTCACACTACCCCAGTAACACTGGATTCTCAGCGGGCAAATCCTGGGGTAGCTGTAGTCAAAACCCAGGTCTCCATCTCCTGTCTTCACAAGAACCCTTGTACCCTGTCCCCAGCGGGAGGAGGGAGGAGCTAGCATAAATAGCATGCCTCTGTTTTTCTTGCTCTTGTTTTATTTCTCCATCTACATACAGAGCAATGTGCCTGTGTGATTTTCCCCCTTAATTTTCTTTCTGCCGCCTCATTAGCTGAAGAGAGTTCTCGTGGACTCTAATGACATCAGCATGTCAGAATAATGTGGCAGCCGCTCCTCCGCAGACAGCAAGGAGGAGCGGAGATTTTTAAACTGTGTTGGCGTAAAAATAATGGAGGCAGCCAGCTGCCTGGCAAACATGAGGGGGCACAGAGCTGAGGAATTGGGGAGGGCCAGGGAGCCCCAGAGAGGTGGAACAGAAGAGAGACAGGAAATGAATTCCCAGAGACAGGCAATAAGGCTTTGTCACAGTCTGTGACCCAGGGAGGAGGGGGCCTGGAGGAGGGGCGCTGTTGCTGATGGAGGGCAGCTCTTATGGGGAGGGGGGCAGGGAGTCTTCCATGTTATATGCAGTCGCTGGGAACCATTTAACGTTCTGCAGAGAGAAGCGAGAGGGCCGGTG